CTCAAACAATCCACCTGCCTCGGCCTCCCAGAGTGCTGGGATTACAGGCATGAGCCACTGTGCCCGGCCTTATCACATCTATCTTATGACTTGGTATTTCCCCAGCAACCCCCATCTTCACACTTACCCAGAGTAGTCTTTCTAAATGATCTATCACTAGTTCTCTTCTCAAGATCTTGTGGTTCTTAACTTTTACGGGCACATACTAAATACTGATGGATGAAATTAAATGATTAGTTTTCTTTCAAAACAATCCAGTGGGTAACAGGAAGTGATAAAACAAGATTCGTTATGAATTGCTAATTGTGGAAGCCTTTTGTATATAATTGAAATTTTTCAATTTTTAAAAATGGGAAGCCTATGACTTAAAAAAAAAAAATCCCTATGACATCCCTCTCCCTTGTTGGATAGAAACTGAATGCCTTAGCCTGTGAATTAGGCATTTCTACCATCTTTCTATGCAGTGTGCTACATAGGAATGTAGACAGAGTCTCTCTTCATCTCTGCCTCAGCTTGAGGATAAAACCTGGCTGGGTCCTGTAGAGTAGTTTCACTCTGGAAAGATCAAATGAGTTCCAAAAAAGTAATGTCTCTCTTGGATTAACTTCCAGTTGACATTCACAACTTTTCCTTCCATTCCTCCATAGCCCCAAGAAACCCTCCTTTGGCTGAGAGATTGAGAGGAAGAAGAAGAAATTAACATTTACTGAGCTTCCAAGATATACGCAGGCACTCTTAATTTGCTAAATTATGTGGTAGAAATACAGAGAAAATTCAGTATTTTAAACATTGAACTTGTTAAGAATTAAATATATGTAATGAATGTTGGTAAATTTGAGAATGACATTTATTCTTCTTTTACGTCCATACTTCTCTTTGTATGTGTACTAAGTTTCACAAAAATGGCTACTCCTCCCTTTCACCATTTTGAAAAAAAATCATCACTGACGTAGTGTAACCATTTTTCTTATGTAAGCCCAAGTGTCCTTAGATGCTGTAAAAAATGGTCACAGAATCCAAAGCAAATAGCACTAACATGCCTCCACTTCAAAACATTTCAAAAAATATGGTAGGATGGCACCATCTCAACTATGTTAATTGTTTTGCCATAAACCATAATATGCATAAACTATTCATGTTTTCTGGGCTATTCTGTGAGTTACAATCCAAAATTACAGACTTTCTCCTGAACTTCAATAATCTCCTAAACAGTTGACGTAGTTCCCAACATCTTAACCCTCTGGAAGAACAGAACTTTTTTCCCTAAAAATTCCTCAACTTCCTTTTAGTTCATAAGCATTAGAATATTTGGGTGTTGGCTTGGCGCCTGTGGCTCAAGTGGCTAAGGCGCCAGCCACATACACCTAAGGTAGCAGGTTTGAATCCAGCCCGGGCCCACCAAATAACAATGACGCTGCAACCAAAATATAGCTGGGTGTTGTGGCGGGTGCCTGTGGTCCCAGCTACTTGGGAG